GAGCCCCCCCCCCCCTCCCGGATTCTTCCGTCCTCGGCAACAGTTGCGTGGACTACGGGCACACGTTCAGCAAGATAATCGAGATGGAGCCCGCGGCTGACATCATGCACGGAGAGGCCGTCAACGTGGACGGCTTCCTGTGCCTCGTCATCGCCAAGCGGCGCGGCATGATTACCGAGGCGGTGCTCGACCGGGTGTTCCGCGTGATGAAGAGCATCGGCCTGCCGACCATCCACGAGAGCGTGCAGCTCGCGCCGATGGTCAAGGTGAGCGACCAACCACCCTCCCCTCCGCCCCCCCCAAGCAACGTCTCTAGTCTCTTCCCGTTGTATTACACACGGTACTCATGCATAGACTACAGCAGACTACTGGTTTGCGTGTACAGCAGCCGTCACTCTGTTAAGAACATGCATGGTCCTTCGTGTAAGCAGGTGTCCTTAAGTCGGGTAAGTGTCATCAAGGTTGATACCCCTCCTTATGTTTTACTTCATTCTGCGAGCCACCATGCCTGCGAACAATAGCAATCCTTAGCCGGGGGAGTGTCCTTAGAGCCGGTGTCCTTACCCAAGGGATGACTTCATGTATTTTTTTTGTTGCATTTTTCTTTTTCGACTACAGGGGGATAGATCCAGGAGACCATGTCACTCTTAGGTATCCTTCCTGACTGGTGCACGCACCATATGCCGCCCTTCCTTCGGAACCGTACCCTAATCAAGCTCCGCCAGGCTCGCTGCACCCTTTCAACAGAGCAACACTTTACCTTCAGGGAGTATTTCAGCAAATCACGTTTGTCATTTGTGTTATTTATTTGCAGGAGTATACATACCTTCTTCCATCACTCCATCACTGAGGGGACGCCGCAGCAGCACGATTTGCTCTGCATCTTGCTCTGTCGGTACGACGAGCTGCAAACCGCGGTCGTTCACCGCGGTGGGAACGCCGAAGGTCGAACGCAGAATAACTCACCTTTTCGTACCACATCGGCTGCAAGCCGTATTGCCGAACCCTGTCCCCCTTTTGTGTGACTCGACCCGCGGCTTACCTATGCACTCCCCCTCCCCTGCTCCTTGCGTTCCGCGGATAAAAAAATGACACGGGAAAAATTGTTAGGGTCTCGCGGACGCCGTCGAACACCGCCACGGCAAGCAGCGCGTGCCGCTCCTCAAGGGTGGTATCGGCTCTTCTGTGTGCGTTAACGACATCAACCCTGACGAGCTCAAGGGGGCCATCGCCGAGGCCTGGGCCCTGCATGGCGACAACGAGGACGCCAAGCCTTAAGTGGTGTGAGGCGTTCTTGGCGAAGCATGTGTGCATGCGTTTGTTTGTTCCTCCGTGGGGACGAGCTTGTTTGAGAGAGCAAGGTGTGTGTAGACAAGAATGTGGGTGGGGGGCATGCAATGCGTCCGCTTGTTCCTCGGTGGGGACGGGCTTTTTGAGAGAGCAAGGTGTGTAGACAAGAGAGTGGATGGAGAGTTTTGGCGAGTGTTTTGAAAAACGGGGGTTGGTTGTTGGTGGGGTATGTGCAAATGGGAAAGGGTCCTGAGCTTGAGCGCTTGAGGAGCGAGCGACTAGGCGGAGCGAGTGGTTGTATCAAGGGTTCGCTACACTCGCGGTGCCAACGGTAGGGCTTGCGTGTTGGGGGTTGAACTCCTATGAGCAAACAACGGGGAGACGGAGGTTATCGCACCCTCGTTTGTTGTGTCGGCTTTTCTTCGTCGCTCGTCTGGTTGTGCTGTTGAGGTTGAGTGTCTGTTGTTGGTAATGAGCGTTGGCGCCCACGACGGGAGGCGTGCGGTTGGCGAGTAACCCGGCGATTGGGTGTCTTGGCGGTGAAGCAGCACTTTATCGAGAGTCGTGTTCATTCATCGAGCGTGTACGCTGGCGTCTAAGACCATACCTTGCTTTACTTGCACAGAGGTAGGCGCCAGTATTGTATACCGGCTGCGGGTGGAATTTGCGGAAAATTGGTGGGCATGGCATTGATAGAGATCTCACCGCGCGAAAGCTTGTTTTTTGAAAAATTTTGGGGGTTTTCGAGGATTTTTGAAGATTTTGGTTCTTGGTTGTGGATGGAGGGCCCTCCAAGCAAGAAAAAGAGTGGTAGAGACAAAGAGCCGGTGCTGCCCGGCGCTGCAGCAGCCAGTATACAGGAGAACAAGAGAGTTATGGCAGGTGGACTGGAGGGGGCCCTCCGATTTGTCGTGGGCGTTGCCCTGCGCAGACCATGAGCGACAAAGCTAGTCGGTTGAGCTCGGTTGAACTTGCGTGTTGTGATAGACTTGAGCAGGCCATCGCGGAGGCTTTGCCGCTGGTTTGCCGAGTGCCACGCACGAGCGAACTAGTCAAAGAGCCTGCGTGTTGTCATTAGACTGATGCCCAGTGCGGGAAGAGCTCATTGGTTGACTCTCCGTCGTGGTAGGCAGTGCAAGTGTTGTGGGTAGTCCGTTGCTGGCCATGTTCGAGATCTCGGCTGGAAAACCACTCAGCCCAGCTCTGTGGACTTGACGGCGGAAGTCCGTTTCCTTTTGGTAAAGGTTCCGTTGTGTATTGTATTGCTTCTGCCCGTCGTTGATGCGACTGCATTAGTCGAGGAGGGTCGGCCGAGACGACGGGTAGCTTGCTCGGGGGTTCGGCTCCTCTCATGGTGCCTGCAAAAAATTACGCCCCGCACTTGTGAGCGGGCGCAATGGCCGAATTTGGTGATGATGTGGTCAAGTCTCTGCGCGAAGGGTACTTGGCAACGTTCTCAAAGAAAGTTTTTGGTCCATTATCAATGTTCCCCGCCGCCGACCCTCCTTGGCTCGGTGCGTGGTGTGGCGAAAGGCGCCGCGGAAACCGGCCGAGACAAAACCGGTATCGAGGCTGCGGGAGGCTCGATCGCGAAACGATGGCCATGAGAGTGGCTTCTGCGCAAGGAAGCGCAGGGACCATGGATGACCTGATCGGTTGCAACATAAGAGCTCTTGGGCGGATCGGTAGTTAGCAACAAGTGTCTTTCGTGTTTACCAACGGCGAGACGGGCTACACGCACGCACGCACGTAGTTTGCTTGATGGCCTCTCCTGCAGTTATACAGTACAACAACCAATTGCCTAGCCTGTTTCGTACGAGTCGTGGACCCAAATTGCCGGGAACGAAAATAACCCTCCAGACCCTGAAAAAAGCCGAACATGAAAACAACATGCCACAACACGCGAACGCAGAAACAACCCCCAACACGACAAAGACAGCATGTACACCACGCGTACTTAAAAACAAGGTCGTCTCACAACGGACGGTAGTGTTTGTTGAAGCACAAGTCGCCACACTCAACCAACACCAGCGTAGAGCGGTCGACGCGCACTTCACCGGCCGACAACAAATACTAAAACAAGCGCCTAGTCATACACGAACCGTTCGCTACCCGTGGTTCTGCAAACGAAGAAGGGGCTGTCACAGCGCTTCCGCCGTTACCGCGTCCTCGAGATGCTGGCCCACCTCCCCCAAGCAGAAATTCGCCGTCGCCTCCAGGCGCCGCCGGGCGTACCCGGCCAGCGGCTGGACGGTGTCGTGCCAGCTCTTCACCACCTGCGCCTTGCAAACCTCGAGGAACTCTTCGGCCAGAACGCCGCCCCGCTCGGCCGCCACCCCCGCCCACCGCACCGCCGCCTTCCTCAACGCTACCGTCGACTCTGCCGCCCAAGCTTCCCACCCGTTCTCCTCGCTGTACGCTACCATCGCGCCCCCCGGGTCGCTCGCCTCCCCCGGCGGCTCGGTGGAGATCGAGTCTAATTGCGGCAGCGGGGGCAAGACGACGAAGTCTTCCACGTCTGCGGTGTGCCGCCGGCGAGGCGGCCGCTGCCCCGCGAGCCCGACATCGACGGGGTCGGGCCCCGCCGACAGGGGCTCAGAAAAACGGAACACCGGGCGCCTGCGCGGGAAGTCCTCGCCGCGCGCCTGCTCCTCCTCCTCCTCCGACAGCAGCGCTTCCACCTCTTGTGATGAGTCGCTCGTGAAGACGTCGTCGTCAGGCGGCACGGCGGCTGCGGCGTCCCCGGTGGTCGCTCTCCCGTGCTGTGGAGGCGGCCACCGCCCGCTCGGCATCCTCGGCGGGCGGGCGTCGACCCCGCTCCATTCGCTTGCCGATATCTCCGCTACCCCCGGATCGGTTTCAAGATCTCCGTCCACTTTGGCACCGGCGGCAACGTCGGCATCGGCGCCCACGGCGGCTCCGGTCGCCTCGTCGTCACCAGCCCCTGACGGCCCTCCCGCTCCCGTGCCCGAACCAAAAGCACCCGACGATTCCATCGCGCTCGTCCGTGCGTCAGGCTCGTGTCGATCGAGATCACGGTGGTCGTCTTCTTGTCCTCCGGCGCTCATTGCCGGAACAACCGCAGGAGCTCTGCCTTGCCCCTCCCCGCCTGCATCGGTCCCCTCGCCCTGCGATCCCATCGACGACGTTTCTGCTGTGGATGCATCACGAACGGCATCGATTGCCCCGTCTCCGCCCTGCCCAGCACGTGCCTCGCCCCCTCCCGAGTCCACACTGCTGTCCTCATCGGCACTATCGAGGGCCAGCAACGCAGCGGCCCCTTCTTCCTTTCCAGCGGTGATCACCACAGCGTCCATCGACGCATCGTTGCTCGTTGGCTGAGCGGACGCTGCTGCGGCTTCGTTCGCTCGCCCATCGTCATGGGTATCGCCGGTAGGCCTCGCTGCTGGTGGCGGCCCCGCATCTTCTCCAGCGGCGGCTTCCTCCTCCTCGTCCCCCTCCTCCTCCTCCTCCTCCTCTTCCTCCTCCTGCTCCCGCTCATCCTGCTCCATAATTTCAACAATCGCACCTTCGTCGTCGATACCTGGCAGCGGAGTTGCTGTCGCACCGTGATCCGGTTGGAGAACAGCGCCACCCTCCTCTTCCGCTTCTCGACTCCCGGCCGGTTCGCCCCGCTCGGCTGGCGGTCGGTCTATCCCAGCCCCATCTGTCGCATCGCCCTCACCTCCATCTACAAACTCTTCCAAGTCTTCGGCGCCTACTGTTGTGCTCTCCCCAGCACTGGCGGCCGCCTCCTCTTCATCACCGGCGCCGTCTAGCGCTTGTGCTGCGTTCCCCAATTGAGCAGCAAAAGGAGCAGCATCGATCACCGCCTCAGCGGACGAGGTGTCAATGCTGCCCTCGCCAGCCGAAGCAGCTTCGGCGTCCAATCCAGCAGCAGCAGCAGCAGCAGCAGGAGCATCGCTGGCGTCTTGACTAAGTCTCCCGAGGTCTTCCACAACACCCGCAACATAGCCATCGGAAGAGGTAGCATCAACCTTGGCCTCAGCAGGCGAACCAGCAGCACCAGCAGCAGCAGAAGCGGCAGCAGCAGCATCGCTGGCGGCGTCATAACTACGTTCCCCGAGGCCTTGCGCAACACCCTCCAAAGAGCTACTAGAAGTAACACCGTCAACCTCGGCATCAGCAGGCGAATCGGCCGTACCGCTGCTGCTGCTACCGGCAAGAACATGCTCGGCATCTGCAACAGCAGAAGTAGCATCGCTAGACTCTTGGCCACCTCCCCCGAGGTCGCTCGACGGTTGTACATCTTGCGCAGCCGAGTGAACGGACGAAGGCTCGCCGTCAGGTGAACCATTGACACGGGAACTTTCGTCGAATTTTTCGTCCACGTTGTGCGAGAATGCTACTTCTTCCCCCGCTGCCGTTCTCCCCTCGTCATCCTTTTTGTTGTTGTTGTTGTTGCTGCTGTTGCTGCTGCTGCTGCTGCTGCTGCTGCTGCTACTGCTACTGCCGCTGCCGGCAAGAGCTTCTTGGGACGAGGACCCAACAGGATCATCAATCGTAGATGGCGCGAGATCCTCCTGGTTGTCATGAAAATGCTGCTGACTTTCTCGTTGGATTATGGCGTTCAAAAGCCTAGCGATCGTTTGGTCAGGGCTCTCCCCCTCTTCGAGAGGAGTCGGCGTCTTCGTTGGCCGCCCGGCGGCTCCGTTTCCAGGTGGACGCCCTCTGCTGACAAGCGGAGGCACCATGGCACCGAGAGTCACCACTTCAACCTCTGCTTCGGGCGAGCTGGCTCGCGCCGCAGCAGCGAGGCAGCACAGCCGTATTAATCTCCGTCGAGGTCTCTTGAACATTGCGGACGAGGGTCAAGCCCAAGGACCGACGAACCGCCAAGCGTTCGGGAGGAGACGAAGACTTTGGGGCAAGGTGCAAGCCACAGCAAGGCTGCACGTGTGCTGTGTGTTCTGCGGCCTTGGAGCTGCCCAGCCGGGGCTCCGTGAAATGTATTCTCCTTTGCGAAGCCCCCGCTCCCTTGCTTGTCCTCTCGCTTCTGGTCCATGGCAACTCTCCCATGACTGCTTCTCTGTTTCTCAACGTTGGTCTCTCGTTGGGCCTATTGTCCACAGTGGCGGTATTGATGCATGCCGCTCGGTGGTTAGTAGGAACTGAAATAGGTCATGTGACATAACAATTTTTCCCTGGCGAATTCTGCATCAAGACTTTAGTTTTTTTGCCCGACGATTTCTTCAGCCTCTTTATCTTCCTTTCTTTCGACAAATGTTGACTTTTTCGACCTTTGGGCAGTCTGCCTCCCGAACGAGTGCGAATCAGCTGTTCGACCTTTGAGAACAGTCACAGCTTTGGCTGAGATGTCTACAGATCGCCTACATGTTTCGCCAGGGTCCAAGTTTGATTTTCCCAAGGTGCGCAATTTTCACGCAAGATTTTTCCAACACCAGCTTTTGGACAGATCTTGGCCCAAGATTTGCTCCGAGGTGGCCTTTCGGCCGAATCAACATCTTGCTCTGCTGGAAAAAAATCAAAAGTGAACCTTGGCGAAACATGCAGGCGATCTGTAGACATCTCAGCCAAAGCTGTGACTGTTCTCAAAGGTCGAACAGCTGATTCACACTCGTTCGGGAGGGAGACTGCCCAAAAGGTCGAAAAAGTCAATATTTGTCGAAAGAAAGGAAGATAAAGATATGGAAACCATAAACAAGGGCCTAAAATAAGGTGCTTTTTTTTTCTCCCATCATTGGACTCTGTCGTCTGCCCCTCTGGCCCCTATCCTCCACTTCTACCAGGTAGACGACCCAACCGGGGTCACATAGGAGGGGGGGGTTGGACCCCCTCCTGCGGTTCCTGCCTGAGGTATTTTTATCGCGAGGAGGGTACAGCAATCCCTTCCCTCGCGACTTACGAAGTTCATTATGGTTTACTAACAACGAGCTTTGCAGCGCGTCGCTTTCATCCTCGACCAGGATTTATTTTGTGAGAAAAATCTCACTCTGCCGGGACTGGAACCAATGACCTGGCCCTTAGCAGGCTGCGAGGTTACCCACTGGACCACCGACCGGGCGATGTAAGTGCCCAAAGGTTGTGTTCTCTCTCTTATGTTTCTCCAGTGCCGCTCGGTCACTCCGGCAGAACCCAGAGCAGGGGATCATCTCGCAATCCCACAGTGTAGGCTGCAGCTGCTGTATGGAGGTTGTTCTGCCCGTGTGGTTCAGTCGGTTCCAGTGCAAACTAGGTAGCAATCTGATTGGTCGAAGATCCGTTGGGCATCAGCGAAGGCCGAAACTTTAATTCGTTTCGAGAGGGTATGAGTTCGTCCTCGTCGTGGTCTGTTTGTTCGACCTTTGTTCTTTGAAGTCTGAATTCTCACGGTCGGCTCGGAGGGCTTCAGTTTGTTGTACGATCACTGGTTCTACTCATCCTCTCATCTCTCTGTGGTACCCGATCCGCCAAGATAATGGCCAATCAACCCACACTCCAAAATGCATTCCACCAGACGACACGTGCTTCTGGGGAGCCCATCTACTTGAAGCTCGACCCGATCTTGATGACTGCGCCCTTGGGCGGCGAAGCCTTCTCTTCGTGACCTTCCTCGCCCCCCTCTGTGCCTCCCATCGCGCCCGCCGCCGCAGCTCCTCCCACGCTGGCTGCAGCAGCAGAAGAGCCCTTTTTGGCAGGATGTTGTCCCGCAGCCAGGCTGTTGAGGCTCGTGTGATAGATGGTGCTTGTGTCCTGCTGGGTCACCTCCCTTAGGCACATTGTGGCGTAGGACGAAGACGGGAGGGTGAAGTGGAGACACAGGCCGTGGAAGCGGCCACCACGCGATCCCGGCGGAGATGCCTCACACTTGCTCTCGGGAGCCGCTCCATCAACGTCCATTGCGTCCGGGGTCGTGGCCTTTGAGTCACCCTCCTCCTTCTTGGTGGAGGGAGGTTGTTTCTCGACATCAGCCTCAGCAGCAGCAGGGTCAGCAGCAGGGTCGGCAGTAGCAGCAGCAGCAGGGTCGGCAGCAGCAGCAGAAGAAGGGTCAGCGGCGGCGGCGGCGGCGGTTTCTTCCTCCTTCTTTTTCTTCCTCTCGGCATCCTCCTTGGCGATCCTAGCGTCGTCGATGTCGAGAAGGTCGTCGATGTCGGTGTTGATGAGGTGCAGCGTGTGGTCGTCGTAGCGCTTCAGCTCCCACTGCATGTCCTTGGGCACCTGCAGCAGCCTGCACCACAGGAATTCCACGGATCATTTCGAGGGTCCCAAAGAGGAACAAAAGCAAGAGAGAGAGAGAGAGA